CAGGTCCCGAGAGAAAATGAGGACCATGAGAATTTGTCCCTTGATATAAAAAGAATTTACTACCTCACGTAAGTAAAATTAGGGAACTCAATCCGCTGTTGTTCTAAAAACATAAATACCAATGAGCCATTTGCTCCCCTCCCCTGTTCCCAAGAATCATTATATGGCTAAGAAAACAGCTGAGGCATAATTGGTCCCATCCTACCTAGAACAGAATCATGCATTTGTTTTTTTCTTTCTCCTTATATCTGCTGAAAATAGGGCTAAAATATTTTGACATCTTCTTTTTACTAATATTTTTATGTATGAAAGAAAGAACCCATTGTCCTAGATAGTGAAAAAAAAATCATATAAAGTGTACTATTACATACATTAAGGAGCCACAGGGTGGCCTGTTTTTTTTTTGTTTTTTTGGTTTTTGTTTTATTTTGAGATGGAGTTTCGCTCTTTCACCCAGGCTGGAGTGAAGTGCTGCTATCTCTGCAACTTGCAACCTCCGCCCCCCCAGGTTCAAGCAATTCTCCTGCCTCAGTCTCCCTCGTATCTAGGATTATGGGCACCAGCCACCATGCCTGGCTAATTTTTGTATTTTTAGTAGAGATGAGGTTTCACCATGGGGGCCAGGCCGGTCTCAAACTCCTGACATCAGGTGATCCACCCTTGTTGGCCTCCCAAATGCTGGGATTACAGATGTGAGCCACTGCGCCCAGTCTTATTTTTACTTTTTGATTTGAAAGGAAGATGTTAGCATACATAGGTTTATACTTTAGTTTCAAAAACTAGCAAGGAAATTGAGCAAGTATCATTACTTAGATTGTGTATAGGTAACTATGAACGCTCTTGTAAAGGCAAAAATGACATCACAATGCTGAATTTTTAAAATAAAATAAATACACAGCTATAGCCAAGCAATGTCAGAAAAAAATCAGACTTAGAGTCAATTAACTAAGAAACTTATCAATTTGACTGGGTACTTTTGGGTAGATGTAGTCAGAGAATTAGAGAGTAAAGAGACTATTCTACATAAGTGAAAGTGTAGAATTCGTAGAATATGTGTGGTACACATATGCAGGCCCAGCATCCTTTCTTCTTCCCCGTGTAATAGAAAAGCAGACCACAGAGGGCCCCAGAAGCACAGAGAAAGCATGCACCAAGGAGTCGGTGCTTGGAGGGCAGACAGGCTGACTGGATCCCAGTGTTCCCAGTTCTCAGCCCTCTGGGGTTCTAGGGGTTGCAATCACCACTCTAAATGCTTTCCATTACTTCCGCTGGCTAAGGAGGTTATTTTACTTCCCACTCCTGATCGCTCCGTGTATCCCCTCCTCCCAGTCCTCTTCACTCAGGGCCTTCTCAACATGCTAGAAAAATGTGTTTAAGGCCGGGCACAGTTGCTCACACCTGTAATCCCAGCACTTTGGGAGGCTGAGGCGGGCGGATCACCTGCGGTCAGGAGGTCAAGACCACCAGCCTGGCCAACATGGCAAAACCCCCTCTCTACTAAAAACACAAAAATTAGCTGGGTGTGGTAGCGGGCGCCTGTCATCCCAGCTACTCGGGAGGCTGAAGCAGGAGAATCGCTTGAACCTGTGAGGTGTAGGTTGCAGTGAGCCGAAATCATGCCACTGCACTCCGGCTGGGGCAACAGAGTGAGACTCCATCTCAAAAAAAAAAAAAAAAAAAAAAGTTTATTAAATTGATAAACCAGTCACCTGATTTGGAGGAGGGGGACCTGGGGGTATATTAGCCTGTTCTCACACTGCTATAAATATCTGAAACCGGGAAATTTATGAAGAAAAGAGGTTTAGTTGGCTCACAGTTCCGCAGGCTGTGCAGGAAACATGGCAGCATCTGCTTCCAGGAGGCCTCAGGGAGCTTTTACTCATGGCAGAAGGCAAAGCAGGAACTGCTGCCTTACATGGCGAAAGCAGGGGCAAGAGAAAGTTGGGGGGCCACCCACTTTTAAACATCCAGATTTCACAACTCATCCAAGGGAAATGGTGTTAAACCATGAGAAACTGCCCCCATGATCAATCAACCCCCACGAGGCCCACCTTCAACACTGGGGATTATAATTGAGCATGAGATTTGGGTGGGGACACAAAGCCAAACCATATCAGGGAGTTACTGAGCTGATTAGTTCTTAGAATAAATTACCCAGTCTTCTGGATATGTAGACAGAGTTCTGGAGGGTTATAGCTTAGAAAAGGCTAGAGGCTCATGTTGGGGACTTTCTCTTTTAGTTTTCTCTTTTTCAAGAGACAGGGTCTCACTCTGTCACTCAGGCTGGAGTGCAGTGGTGTGATCCTGGCTCACTGCAGAGTTGAAATCCTGGGCTCAAGTCCCCCCCAAGTGGCTGGGACTATAGGTCTGCACCACCATATCTGGCTAATTTATATTTTTTTGTAGAGACCAGGTCTTGCTTTGTTGCCCAGCTGGTCTCAAACTTCTGGTCTCAAGCAATCCTCCCACCTCAGTCCCCAAAGTGTTGGGATTACAGGCGGGAGCCACTGTGCTCTACCAGGGTTGGTGTTCAAATTTTTACAGAGAAGAAAAGAATTTCACTGGTAATTGTCAGAGCAGTCCTTAAGGATGTGTCAGAAAGAAAAAAAATTATGATTTGAGATAGAAAAAAAGTCCAATGTATATAACAGAGAAATGCACAGTAATAGGGAAGTGATGAGGAGAGCAGACCCAAGACACCCCATTTCCAGACGGCGTGGATGCACCATATTGTTTAGGTAAAGGAAGTTACATAAAACATGAATTTTTTTTTTAAAGCTTCTAGTCTACGTAAGTTTATAGAAAGTTCCTCACATTTTTAGTGATGACACCATTTTGCGAGGTGGCTTATGGAGTACGAGACAAAGCATAATGCAAAGGTGTCGCTGTGATGTCACGGGGAATCAAAACCACAGGGGGTTCAATGGGACTAGGCCTGGACATGCCAAGTTATCAGGTCACGAAATCCATCATGTTTACAGACTTAGTCTTCTGCTCAATTTTTCTCTATCCCCAAAATTTTACTAATTTAGCACTTGGAATTAAACTGTATTGGCCAATTATTATTGTTATATCAGTATACTACGTTACATTTCACACAACATTTTCAGGTCCATCAATTTTGCTCTCCAGATAGTCAATCATTTATTTATTCAAAAAATACAGATTGATAACAAACCAGCATTGGAGGTGCTTGAGAAACACTGAACGTATCATTGTCAAGAGACAAAGATACCACCGCTTGGGGTGTTTACATTTAGCACAAAAGGCAAAACATAAATAAATAAATAAAACAAGCCTAATAAATAAGAGAACAATATAGTACACTAGATGACACGTACTCTATGGGGAACAAAGAGCCTCCACTGAGCCCAGCAAGGGCAACTGGAAAGGTGAGCTCCGGACAGGCTCTGGGGTGAGTAGGGTTATACGGCATCACTGAGAGGCTGGATCTCAGAAGACTCAAAGGAAGAAAGGGAATAATGAGTCAAGGGACATCAGGGAAAAGGGAATTTCAAGCAGAAGCCACAGCGGGGGAAACGGCCCTATGATGGGAAGCGCCTGCTTTGGTGGAAACCCAGCCATGAGGCCAGGGCAGCTGAAGCAGAATGCAAAGGGAAGTGGGGGAGGAAGAGAGAATCAGAGGAGGGATAGGGGTTCAGAACCTCTAGGGCCTGGGGGTTCACTGTGAGGATTCTGACTTTCACTTGTCATTGTGATGGTATCACCATCTAAGTCACTGTGATGCCAACATATCCTTGGGTGCTAAAAGGATCAGCCCAGCTGCTGTAGAGAGAATGGGAGTGGAAGGGCCTAGAGCCCAAGCAGGACCACTGTGAGGAAACGAAAGTGATAATCCAGAGTGGCAGGATGGAGTTCCGACCACGGTTACAGCAGCAGGGTGGCCAGGACAACTGAACGCCAGACATATTCTGAAGGTAGGACCAACAGGGCTCGCTGATGGACTGGATGTGGGCTGCAGAAGTCAAGAAAGCACTCAGTTGGACGCCTGGCCGAAGCAATCAGAAGAATGGGGCTGCCACCCAGTGACAGGGAGCAGCCTGTGGTTTCTGTGGTTGCTGTTAGGAAGAGACTTTGTGGTTAAGTTTTAGGAAAATTGAGTTTAAAATGTCTATTCTGATGTCAAGTGGACAGCTGAATATAAAAGACGCACTCAGAGGAAAGGAGAGGGAAAGCCAGGAAACGGGTATGGATGTAGAGGATTTTGCTGGTAATGAAACAAAGTTCCAGAGGAAATAGTGGAAACCTTTCAGGAGTTGGAAAGGGAAAGAGGTCATTACAGGAGACACACAAAACTGTGAACCTAAGAATGCAAGAGATGAAGACTCACATCGGTCTACTGACTGACATAAACCATAATAAAATGCACAGTGAGACAGCATTCAGCAGAGACAGTGAGACCAGAGTACTGGGCTACACGGTGGGAAATGGATACTCCTGGGCCTCTCGTTCCACTCTGTGGACAGAGTAGAAGACACATGGACGTGTTCTCCCTCCCACCCAGGGCTTCCCCGTCTCAGTGAATGGGTGGTGCCCCATGGAAGGGGTATCCCAGGCCATCCTCCTGATCCCTGGGGGAAGGGATGCTGTGGCTGAGCTGAAGGCCACCTTCCCTACACAGACATCGCACGAGGGAGGGCTAGGGCACACCGGCCCGCGGAACACCAAGAGGAGGGACGTGAGGATGCGTTATTCCCTCTGTTTGCAAACCTAACACAGAGAGTAGAAGTGTTCGCTCATGATCAAACAATTTAAAAAATCTAGGAAGAAGGCTACGTAAATAATATGATCGGAAGGTAGTTAAACATGTCAGTCGAAAAAATCTCCCTGGAAGAGAAAAACATCTTGAACTTCAAATTGAGGAGGAAAATTAAACCTTCGGCAGATTATTGTCAGATAATGTGAAATAATTTGCCATTAATTAATATTTGGTTACCATTTAAACATTTTAGCATTTGTATAACTATTATTTTTTATTATTATTATTATTATTTTTTTTTTTTTTTTTTTTTTTTTTTTTTGAGACGGAGTCTCGCTCTTCGCCCAGACTGGAGTGCAGTGGCCGGATCTCAGCTCACTGCAAGCTCCGCCTCCCGGGTTTACGCCATTCTCCTGCCTCAGCCTCCCGAGTAGCTGGGACTACAGGCGCCCGCCATCTCGCCCAGCTAATTTTTTGTATTTTTTTAGTAGAGACGGGGTTTCACCGTGGTCTCGATCTCCTGACCTCATGATCCGCCCACCTCGGCCTCCCAAAGTGCTGGGATTACAGGCTTGAGCCACCACGCCCGGCCATAACAATTATTAGAAGACAGTGATACAAAGAGGGCAGCAAGGTTAGCCTTCAATGACTTTTAAAACTTCTGTTGGAAAGGTATAGAATATACTTTAAAAATAAGTTAAATATTATCATCATTTCATCATTATTATAATGTATTTAAATGGAAAAGCTGAATTCAAACCAGCAATATCAAATATGACCTTAAATATTTACCATACCACTGCGAGGCCAGTACAATTGTTCCACGTATGGGAAGCATAACAAGCAGCTAAAAGAGAGAGAGAAGTGTTGTTTGAGGTCTTTTTTTTTTTTTTTTTTTTTTGAGACGGAGTCTCGCACTGGGCTGGAGTACAGTGGTGCGATCTCGGCTCACTGCAACCTCTGCCTCCAGGGTTCAAGCAATTCTCCTGTCTCAGCCTCCCGAATAGCTGGGATTACAGGCTCCTGCCACCACACCCAGCTAATTTTTGTTTGTTTGTTTGTTTTTTAAGCAGAGACAGAGTTTTACCTATTGGCCAGGCTGGTCTCGAACTCCTGAGGTTGTGATCCACCCACCTCAGCCTCCCAAAGTGCTGGGATTACAGGCATGAGTCACTGCGCCCAGCCTTAAGGTCTTAAAACTAATAAATATCTACGTTAAAGAACGAGTTGAATGAAAATTCTGATAAATTCCTAAAGGGTATCCAAAGACAAGGAAAAAGTCTAGCAGTCAGTGATATTAGATTCAGAGGAACGAGCTTTGTAATTCTTAAAAATCAGTCCCAGAATAAAAAGGACTTTAAAAGTTATTGAGTAAAGTCATAGGAAATGTGACTGTATAAAGGAATGGCTCTAAATGTATTAATCTAGAAGGAAGCAACAGGTTAAAGAGTAAGAGGTAAGAAACAAAAAATAAGGAACAAGAGAGAGACAGAGAGAGAGTGACAGGGAATGAGAGAGAGAGGGGGGAAGGAGAGAATGAGAAGAAAAATCAGGAAAAGGAGGAGAAACAGAAGTATGGATGTGATACTGGAATACTGGAATAGTATCAGACCATTCTGAATCAGTTTAAGAACTACCATGTCTAATTCTTATATGGAAGATTTGGAATACAAGGATGTTGAAAGGAATAACAAATTATAATGAAGGTATAGAAATCCTTATGTAATCCAAGGTCATTAATTTGAAGGAAGACTCATCAAGAAAATGTGATCTAGAAATAGAGGTTGAGATTGCTGCATTTATAAAATTATTATGCTCTATAATCTTCCCATATGCAAATATTGCGTATTCCCTCTTTTGTCCCACGGAAATATTTCACAGCAACAAGGAATCAAGTGCTGACCTAAGTGGGGGTGTCTGTTAAAACTTAGTATATTGATACCCTTCACCCCACTCCAGGAACGCTGGCTAGGCTGGGACTGCATCTTGGGAACAGAATTTTAGAGATGATCATCTCTTACATCAGAAGCAGGATCTACATGGTCCCTGGATGCCCAGTTTCCCGACTCTGCTACTGTCATGGGTGGCAAGATAAGAGGAGTTGCATCGCAGATGAAAAAGTAAGGCCGAAGACGACCAGAGAAGAGTTGGTTGAATGTGTAGATATAAGATCCATTGGTGACGTTGTAGAATGAGATTTCACCGGCTTCATAGTCCAAGAATATCCCAATGCAGCGAGGACTTTCCAGTAGGAGAAGAGGCACCGACGAGGAGGCAAGGACCATGTACTCATTCCCCTTCAGCAGCCACAGGGCCCAGACCCCGTTCTCAGGAGACGGTGTGGTTTCCCCCTTTCTCGGCAGTGTGTCTTGACAGACCCCTAAACCCCACTCTGCTCTTTCTTCCACCAGAACCTCCCAGTAATGCCTCCCAGATGAGAAGCTCTGCAAACCCAGGATGCAGGGCCACGTGTCAAATCGCTCAGGGTTGCTGGGGACATCCCTCCACAGTTCTCCATCCTGCACACTGCGCAGGTCGGCGGTCAAGAGCAGACTCGGGTGCGCCGTGGCGGGATCCAGCTTTACATCCACTGCGGAAGGAACGTGGTGGAGCAGGTGAAAGGAAAGAAAGGTAGAAACTCAGGAAACCACTGAAATGAATAGTCCCAGAGCTCCTCACTTCTCTCTCTAACAACGCCTAGAGAAAACAAATCAGTATTTCGCCTTACAGGTGAAATCTTCTTTATTACTTTATTATTCTTTATTACTTTCTGGTGTATTCCACTGTTACCTCTGCATAATCCAGAACTCTTTAACTTCCTCAATAAAAACAACTATTGATGATGACAAACCAAGTAAATAATCATTTAGTTTCCTTTCATTTACATGTAAAGCGTGTGTGTGTGTGCGTGTGTGGGTGTGTGTGTGAGAGAGAGAGAGAAAGAAAGAGAGAGAGAGACAGGGTCTTGCTATGTTGCCCAGGCTGGAGTGCAGAGCTATTCATGGGCATAGCCATGGTCCACTACAGCCTCAAACTCCTGGACTCGAGTGATCCTCCTGTGTCTGCCTCCCCAGCAGCTGGGACTACAGGTGCACACCACCATGTCTGGCTTACATCCAAAGCATTTGGGTGCACTTAGGAGGATCTTCTGCATTTAACATAAAATTTACAAACCTCTTAGGAATTCTTTTCTTAAAAATTTATAGGAGAATTTTATTAATATTAAGCCCACTAGTTTCAAAGTTATATTACCGTGGTAGGCAGAATTCTAAGATGAACCCCATGACCTTCACACCCTGGTGTTAGTCTCGTGAGTATGTTATACTATATGACCAGAGAGAGATTATCAAGGTGAGTCTAATCTAATCACACAAGTCCTGTAAAATCAGAAAGTTTTCTCTGGCTATTGGGTTGGTGGCAGCAGGAAAGGTCAGTAAGACGTGGATTTGATATCTCTTTGCTGGCTTTGAAGATGGAAAAGTCATATGAGGAGAAAAACGAGTGATCTCCAGAGCTGAGAATGGCCCCCAACCAACAGCCAGCAAGACAACAGGAATCTCGGTACTGCATTTGCATGGAATTGTATTATGCCAGCAACCTGAATAAGCTTAGAGGGAAGGTTCTTCCCCAGACCTACAGAGCAGCCTAGCCTGGCCAACACCCATATTTGGGCCTTGAGAAAACCTAAGCCGAGGAGCCAGCTGATCCCACCTGGATGTCTGATCTTCAGAACTGTGAGCTACTAAATGGTATGGCTTTAGGCAGCTAAGCTTGTAGTTATTCATTATGTAACAATAAAAAATATTGATACTCTGAAGTCCCAGCGAGATTGATGAGACATTTGACCCATACACATAATAAATAAATACATCTAGATATGAAACCTCAGTGAAGGGGGGATGTAAAATATTCAGTGCATTTCCTTATTAGCATTGCTGATAAATAGTAAGTTAATTAATAACATGGTTTGGGTGTGTCTCCCCTCCCAGTCTCACGTTTAAACGTGATTCCCAGTGTTGAAGGTGGGGCCCACGGGAAGTGCTGGATCGTGGGTGCTGACCCCCCATGAATGTCTTAATGCCGTCCCACTGGTGACAAGTGAGTTCTTTATCAGTTCATGCAAGAGCTGGTTGTTTAACAGGAACCAGGCACTTGCCCACTTCACTGCTTCCCTCTTGCCATGTGATACGCTGGCTCCCCCTTTGCTTTCCACATTGACTGTAGGTTTCCTGAGGCCTCACCAGAAGCAGGTGCCAGCACCATGCTTCCTGTACAGTCTACAGAACCATGAGCCAAAACAAACCACATTTCCTTATATTAATAAATTACCCAGCCTCAGGTATTTCTTTATAGCAATGCAAAATCAGATTAACATGTTAATATAGTTTGATTTTTAATATCAGAATACTGCTTCTACTGCTACTACTATTACTACCACTGCACTACTCTTCCTATTACTGCTACTACTACTACCACTACTGCCACTACCACTATACTTACCTGCCTTTAAACACTTCTAGTGAACTTTTTTTTTTAACTTGAGACAGAGCCTTGCTCTGTTGCCCAGTCTGGAGTGCAGTGGTACAATCACAGCTCGCTGCAGCCTCCACCTCTCAGACTCAAGCCGTCCCCCCACCTCAGCCTTCTGAGTAGCTGGGAAGGCGTACACCACCATGCCCAGCCAGTTTTCTGTATTTTTTGTAGAGATGGAGTTTTACTATGTTGCCCAGGCTGGTCTTGAACTCCTGGGTTCAAGCAATCCATCGGCCTCAACCTCCCAAAATGTTGGGATTACAGGTGTGAGCCACCATGCCCAGCCTAGTGAATTTTTAAAAATTTTTTAATTTAATTTAATTTTTGAGATAAGAGTTTCATTCTTGTTGCCCAGGCTAGAGTGCACTGGCATGATCTTGGCTGACTGCAACCTCCGCCTCCTGGGTTCAAGTGATTCTCCTGCCTTAGCCTCCCAAGTAGCTGGGATTACAGGCATGCACCACCACACCTGGATAATTTTGTATTTTTAGTAGAGATGGGGTTTCTCCATGTTGGTTAGGCTGGTCTTGAACTCCTCACCTCAGGTGATCCACCTGCCTCGGCCTCCCCAAAGTGTTAGGATTACAGGTGTGAGCCACCGCGCCCAGCCTAGTGAACTGTTATTGATACCCAACCTGAGTGGTCACATAACTGCATATTGCATTATTTTTATTAACTCTCATATAACCACCCTGAGGGTCACCATTGTCATCCCTACATTACACAAGAGTAGATTCCGAGTCAAAGAGTTCATGTGGTCTTCCCAAACTCTAGAGGTAAGTAACAGAGATGGAAAGGTAGGTCTCCACGGATTGTGCATTTAACAGAAGTCATGTATTCCCATGTCATGCCTGCTCCAGCACATTTGTCTGCTTCATTTCTAACAAAAGAGATCTGTGAAATGGCTTTTGACATGGTCTACACCCCATTCCTCTCCCTACCCCTTCTCTCCTGAACTCAATTCTTCATCATGATGTGACCACACCCCAACCAAACTGCTCATGTCCATCTTCCCAGGGACCTGCGTGTTGATGAATGGCTATTTGTCAGAGTTTGTCTTTTTATTTAGATGGAGTTTTGCTCTTGTTATCCAGGCTGGAGTTCAATGGTGTGATCTTGGCTCACTGCAGTCTCCGCCTCCTGGGTTCAAGCAATTCTCCTGCCTCAGCCTCCCGAGTAGCTGGGATTATAGGCATGCACCACTATGTCCGGCTAATTTTGTATTTTTAGTAGAGACGGAGTTTCTCCATGCTGACTAGGCTGGTCTCAAACTCCTGACCTCAGGTGATCCGCCCACCTCGGCCTCCCAAAGTGCAGGGATTACAGGTGTGAGCCACCACACCTGGCCCAGAGTTCGTCTTCAATGATTTTTCTGTATCTCTCAACACTACTGAGAATCCACCTGTGCTGGAAAATCTCCCTTTTCCACAGACAGCACTCATCCATGTTTCCCTTCTCTCGCTGCTCACTACTCCTTCATCCTCTTTGCTGTTCTCTTCTCCTCCACCACCACCACTGGAGAAACCTGTGGTCCCAAGACTTGGACTTCTTCTCTCTCTCTCACCTCACTCCCTATCTACCCGGGGGTTGACTGGCTCATTGCTTTGATAAAATTCCAATCACATGCTGACCGATTCCCAATGCATGTGCTTAGCTTTGAACTTTACCCTGAAAATCCCTATTGTACACTCATCTGCCCACCTGAGAGCAACATTTGGATATTTAGCACTCATCGCAACATCCACATGTCCAAAACCCAACCCCTTCTTCTGCTTCAACTGTAGCTTTCCTCTTCAGTAGAAGTGGCAATCACATTTTGCCAGTTTGCAAGCTCCAAAACTTTGGAATCATTCATAACTCTTCTTTTTAATAGCACATCATATGTAATCCAATAGCAAATCTTAACAGCTCTGCCTTCAGTGTATAACAAAAATATGTCCATCTTGCGGCACCTTCCGTAATAACATCTGTTCCAACACATAATCATCTCTCATCAAATTACTGCAAAGACCCTTAACTGCTTTTCCCATGTAATCTTCTCCTCTCCATAATTTACTTACAAGAAACCATACAAAGTGATCCCCATAAAACATTAGTCCAATCAAACTATTTTTCTAGGTACAACTTTCAATGACGTCCTGTTTCACTCAGGGATAAAGTATCCTGCTCAGAGCCTATCCAGCCCTTCCGTGGTCTCTCTGACCCTCCTGTCATTTAGTCTGCCACAGTCTCCTCACACTGACATCCTCACAGCTCCTGGAACACACCTGCCATCCTCCATGTCAGGCCTCAGCACTCATTTCTGCTGTCTGAGTGCCTTCTTCCAAATCATATATGTGCTGCATTATCCCCACGGGGCGAGGTCCTTCCTGGTCACCTTATTCAAAACCAGAACTTCTCATTACCCTTTTCATACTCCTTTTTATTTTATTCAATATTCTGTATCAGCCTCTTACAGCCTGTGTATTTTGGCTAAGTACGTATCTGCAACACAAAGCTATGGATTGTAGCATATTTTGCTGTTGTTGTTGTTTAATGATATATTCCAATGTTTAAAAGAATGGATGAGATAGAATTAATAAAACATTTTGAATTGTTTCATTCAATAAAAATAAATATGGATATGAGGTTACTGAGTCTAAGGGTGCCATGATGATTTTAATCGAGTCGGGCATTTAGTATACATTCATCTACCCAGGAGAATGTGGGTACTATGCTGCGGAGATGGATTTTCTCATTAAGGGACTTTACACTCTTTCCCTGTAAGTAGTGAAGCCACTATTTAGACATAGTCAGTTTTCATTACTTGGGCTAAATTAGATTTTAAAATGAAATTTTAAACAATACTGAATCTATACTGTTTTAAAGAATAATATAATCAGATTGAACAGACTAATTTTTTGTGACACTGCTTATTCCTACATAAAAATCATTGACAATATTTTTGGCTTTATTGACTCATTAATTCAAGCAACTCATCAAATTCTCAGCCAATACATTAAACCAAACTTCTTGTTAATTAATAACTTTGCAATGCTTTCATATTGATAACTTTTAGGAGGTGGGGTGCTTTCAAAGGTTTCATTTTGTCCTGCAAACATTTTTAGCATTTTATAAACAAGGAAATGTAAATCTACTGGAACTAACGTTACTCATATCACAGCTAATAAGAGATGAACTACAATTTTGAGCCCACTGTTCTAACCAAATGTAGATTCTATGGGGGGTGGCTGTGATTTTGATACTGCTCATGAATACACCAATCCTCATTTTTCTGGGCATGGTACACTCTCCCACTGAAGGAGACCAGAGAATTCTACCCTAAAATATGGCAGCCCGGTATGCCCATTATTTTAAATTAAAGGCCCTTGGAGACGAGCACACACTGGAAGAAGCTTTATTCTAACACTCATTTATCTGCCTAAAGTCCCTGTGTTTTAATTAATTTAGTTCATACTGCAGGAAGACAGACAAGTCTGTCAACACACCTGGACGGACTTCAGTCACAAACCACTGTCTCTTTTTCAACAGACTTTGTCCCAAGCCACTGTATGTACTCCAAGTCCAATGAATCCACCAAAAAATCCTTTACTATCCCTCTAAAATCATCCACGCCTCCCCATCTCCCTTTCTTCCAATAAAGAAGGGTATATAAGCATCCGCATCCCATTGAGTTACTGGGTAATTATTCTCCTGCGATTCTGCTGTGCTTTGAATGTTGAACTTTTTCTATGCCTTTGTTCCTGTTTGTCTTTGGTCAATTAATTTTCAGCAAACATTCATAGTGAAAGGGGAAAGTTTTCCCTTGCCCCCTACACTGTCTCCTTGATAGTTTGGCTTAGCCATGAAATCTCAGGAAGGCCACATGCCCCAATTCAGCATGGATGCCTTTAAGAGGAGTGCATGAGTCACCATGCCTATGATATTGTGAAGTGTGTATTTGGTCTACAGTGCATGAGTCCCCATGCCTATGACACTGTGAAGTGTGTATTTGGTCTACGGTGCAGGATTCACCATGCCTATGATACTGTGAAGTGTGTATTTGGTCCACAGTCACCATGCCTATGATACTGTGAAGTGTGTATTTGGTCTACAGTGCAGGATTCACCATGCCTATGATACTGTGAAGTGTGTATTTGGTCTACAGTGCATGAATCCCCATGCCTATGATACTGTGAAGTGTGTATTTGGTCTACGGTGCAGGATTCACCATACCTATGATACTGGGAAGTATCTATTTGGTCTACAGTCACCATGCCTATGATATTTGGTCTACGGTGCAGGATTCACCATGCCTATGATACTGTGAAGTGTGTATTTGGTCTACGGTGCAGGATTCACCATACCTATGATACTGGGAAGTATCTATTTGGTCTACAGTCACCATGCCTATGATACTGTGAAGTATGTATTTGGTCTACAGTCACCATGCCTATGATACTGTGAAGTGTGTATTTGGTCTACAGTCACCATGCCTATGATACTGGGAAGTATCTATTTGGTCTGCAGTCACCATGCCTATGATACTGTGAAGTGTGTATTTGGTCTGCAGTCACCATGCCTATGATACTGGGAAGTATGCATTTTGTCTACAGTCACCATGCCTATGATAGTGTGAAGTATGTATTTGGTCTATGGTCACCATGCCTATGATACTGTGAAGTACGTATTTGGTCTATGGTCACCATGCCTATGATACTGTGAAGTATGTATTTGGTCCACAGTCACCATGCCTATGATACTGTGAAGTATCTATTTGGTCTACAGTCACCATGCCTATGATACTGGGAAGTATGTATTTGGTCTACAGTCACCATGCCTATGATACTGGGAAGTATGCATTTTGTCTACATCCTGTTTACTGACATATAGTTCTAAAAATCCTTGGAATTTCCAGAAAGACAAGTGTCTTTTGCATGCTACTAAGATGACTTATGGTCGGTGATTCCCCCAGAAAGCCTCCCATGGGTGTGGGTTGCCAGGGGAACCAACCATGTGATTAGAGGCTGGAAACTTTCAGTGCCATGCTCCCACCTACCTCTGAAGAGAGACGGGCTGAAGGGTGGGTTGATAAACCAGTGGCCTATGATTTAATCAATCGCGTCTACAAAGCGCTTCCATAAAAAAATCAATCACGTCTACAAAGTGCTTCCATAAAAACCTAAAAGAACTGAGTTCATTGGCCGGGCACGGTGGCCCACGCCTGTAATCCCAGCCCTCTGGGAGGCCAAGGCAGGTGGATCATTTGAGGTCGAGTTTGAGACCAGCCTGGCCAACATGGTAAGGCCCCGTCTCTACTAAAAATATAAAAATTAGCTGGGTGTGGTGGCAGGTGCCTGTAATCCCAGCTACTCAGGAGGCTGAGATAGGAGAATCGCTTCAACCTGGGAGGCGGAGGTTGCAGTGAGCCAAGATGGTGCCACTGCACTCCAGCCTGGGGACATGGTAAGGCTTCATCACAAAAAAAAAAAAAAAAAAAAAAAGAAAAGAAAAGAAAGAACTGAGTCCTGAGGACTTCCAGATCACTGAACACGTGGAGGTTCCCAAGGTAGCATGCCTAGAGAAGGTGTGGAAGCTCCGTATCCCCTTCTCACAAACCTCACCCTGGGAATCTCTTCCATCTGTTTATCTCTAGCCTCTGTAATGCCCATTATAATAAATGAGTAAATATGTGTCCCTGAGTTCTGTGAGTTCTTTCAGGAAATCAAGTGAACTCAAGAAGGGGTTGTGGGAACCCCAATTTACAGTCAGTTGGTCAGAATCACAGGCCACAACCTGTGCTTGTGGCTGGCACGTGAAGTGGGGTCAGTCTTGTGGGACTAAGCCCTTAACCCGGGGGACCTGGTGCTATCTCCAGGTAGACAGTGTCAAAATCAAATTGCATGGAAGGACATCTGGCTGGAGTATGTGCTGGAGAACAGATTGGCTGTTTGCGGGGAGAAATCCCCACACATTTTGGTGACCAGAAGTGAGGTGTTGTATTGACTCTGTAAGAGAACTTCTTCCCCCATCTCTTCAATCACCTGGCCCGTTTCTACGGCTCCCAGCACCACGAGGGAGGTGGAGCTCTGTCAGCACGGGTCTCGGAGCGAGACGATGTGGCACAGAAGTCCCCACACCCAGGAACAAAGCAACGGCAACACCCTCAAAACAAACTTCTGCTGATCTGGGCCGCTAAGACCTCAGGTGCTGTTGCTCACTGCAGCAGACTGGCACAGTGATAAACTGCAATACGAGGCAAACCCCAGGCAGCCTACTTCCCAGTCTCTAAGATGCAAACTACCTTGGAACTTCCTCAACAGTTCCCTCCTCCCAGGGATGCGGCACGCTGTCTTCAGTTCCATGGGGATGCTCTCCGCTTCCAGCCTTGTGACGGCCTTACTTCTGGGAAGAGCACAGAAACCACAGAGGTCAGCAGGGCTCTCCACCAGCTCCTCTGCCTCTCCCAATCCCTTCACCAACTAGAAAGCACGCATACCTGCTCAGGACTCCTCTCACACCCTGAAAAGGAAAGAAAAATACAGTGTGAGCTGGACTCTGGACTGCTTTTCCCAGTCAGACTGAGGACACCACGAACATTTCCTTAGAAATTACTGGAAAACATTATTAAGACAAAATTATAGGGGACAGTAAATCTCTTTTTTTTTTTTTTTTTTTTTTTTGAGATGGAGTTTCGCTCTTGTTACCCAGGCTGCTGGAGTGCAATGGCGCGATCTCAGCTCACTGCAACCTCCACCTCCCTGCCTCAGCCTCCCAAGTAGCTGGGATTACAGGCTCCCGCCACCATGCCTGGTTAATTTTTTTTTTTTTTTTTGGTATTTTTAGTAGGGACGAGGTTTCACCATGTTGGCCAGGTTGGTCTCGAACTCCTGACCACAGGTGATGCGCCCACCTTGGCCTCCCAAAGTGCTGGGATTACAGGCGTGAGTCACTGCACCCAGCCAAATCTCTTTTCTTTAAAGCTATACAAAGTTTAGGTTAATTCCTGCAACATCTATCAATTTAATTATCTTCTGAATTAATAATTCTGCCACTTGGATATTGTAACAGAGTAACATTCTGCAGGTAATTCGGACAGAGCAGGATAAAATAGATCCTAAGTACTCATAGAATTTGAGGGGCAGGGATGGGTTCCTTAAATAAAGACACAAAATGTTTCCCTAAATGTCTTCATAGGAATTATAAATTCCTAATTCTCTGAACCAACGTACCAGAGCTATTCCTATGAGTAGGTTATCTAAGTAGATTAATAAAGGAAGCCTTTAATAACTACTAACATTACTTTCTCAAAGTAGATTATTAAATAAATATATCTGTGATATATTTATTATATTAATAATTGTATTTGGGATACATTTCCCCTCTCCCCTTAAAAAGAGTCGCCAGTCAGATAAGTTTTGATGGCATAAAAGAGGGAAATAATTTGCTTTACCCTGTATGGGAATGTCAGGCCTCGGTCTTGGCCTTCGGCGGTAAAATGTAGCTTATTAGTACCAGGGTAGAAAGGAAAGTACAAAAATATACAGCCTGGGCAACACAATGAAGTCTCATCTTTACTAAAAATTTTTTAAAAATTAGCTGGGCATGGTGGTGCACACCTTTAGTCCCCGCTACTTGGGAGGCTAAGGCACAAGGATTGCCTGATCCCAGGAGACTGAGGCTGCAGTGAGCTATGATTGAGCCACTGCACTCCAGCCTGAGTGACAGAGTGAGATCCCGCCCTTATGAAACAGTAGATAGATAAGATACCTTATTTAAGAATATACCCTCCCATGCCGGGCAGGGTAGCTCATGCCTACAATCCCAGCACTTTGGGAGGCCTAGGTGGGCAGAGCAATACTGTTGTTGAAATTGTCAAGCCGGGCACAGGGGCTCACGCCTGTAATCCCAGCACTTTGGGAGGCCGAGGTGGGCGGATCACCTAAGGTTAGGAGTTCAAGACTAGCCTGGCCAACATGGTGAAACCCCATCTCTACTAAAAATGCAAAAAAAAAAAAAAAAAAAAATTAGCCAGGTGCTGTGACACTCACCTTTAATCCCAGCTACTCAGGAGGCTGAGGCAGGAGAATCGCTTGAGCCAAGGAGGCAGAGGTTGCAGTGAGCCAAGATCACACCACTGCATACTGCATTCCAGCCTGGGCAACAGAGCGAGACTCCGTCTCAAAAAAAAATAAAAGAAAAGAAAAGAAACTGTCAAAGTTCTTGTGTTTTGCTGTCTGCTATTTGGAAAATTCCTTCTTACTCTTAGTTTGCTAACAAGGAAATGAGCACAGAAATAATAATAAAATATAAATTTAACATATATAAGATAAAATGAGACAAACGGTTTTACAAATTCATTTCATGGTCCCCTGCCTCTTAATCAGTACTGTTTAGTAACTGTACTTGCAAATATTATACAGAGAGTTAATATGATTATTAATATTCATGGCAATTTCAGTGTCTAGAACTGAGTCAGAAAAGGTAGAATCTGTGGGTCAGCTGTTAAATGAGAACATGAATCACTTAGTTTAGAATCCCCTGAGTGAGTCACTGGGGAGGAGATAGAAGTTGGCCCAGATAAATTTCTGTTGCCATTGGTTCTATCCAGAAAACATGGATCCATCAACAGCTCTGGCTTTCCCTGTTCACTTGGGATATGATGTCTTCACAGAGGATTAAAAACAAAGATTCCCTTTCAATGTTATTCATCTTTCTGTTCTCTAATCCCAAATAGACTGGGAGGAAGCTGCACGGGAGTCCACGTAATCCCTCCTCACCATGCCTGGAACGGGCACGCAATGTGGGCCAGGAAATCAATGTTTGCTTTACAATCCAATATAACAATTTCAACTGGACAATTTAAATCATTATTCATCCTTCTGGCCGGTGACACTAAAATGTGTTATGCAGACTTTCTGGGTTAGCCATCCCTGAAAAACAGCAATGCCATCATGGACAAACCGCAAACTGACTCTGAGGTTTTAGGAATTACTTCTCAGCCAGCAGAGTGTAGCCTGTCCTTTTCCTAGCTGTTTAAATTTTCAGAAATCATTAATTTTAATTTTAAAAATTCTTTAGTCCTTAAAACGAACTATATGCTGTTTGTCTGTTTGTTTTTTGAAACAGGGTCTTGCTATGTTGCCCAGGCTGGTCTCAATTTCCTTGGCCCAAGCAATCCTCCTATCTCAGCCTCCCTAATAACTGGGACTACAGGCAAGTGCCACCATGCCAGACTCAAACTATATGATTCTCTAGAATCTCATGATTCTGACTCCAGGAATGGCATCTGAGTAAATTCTAGGGTGTTTAAGCTGCCTTCTGAGTAAATTCGAGGGTGCCCTTTTCCTAAAGAACATAAATGCCAAAGTGTTTGTCTCTGAAAGCCACTGTACTAGTCCCTGTCACCTGCCTGCTTTTCTGGCACCCGGTCTCACCTCCAGCAGACCCAGGGCCTGGCGCTGGCACCTCTCCTGCAGCTCATCTGCCAGCTCCTTCAGGGCCTTGCTCTGCTGGACCAGCCGGCTCTTACTCTCCCGCAGTCTCTGCAGCGTCGCTCGCTCCTCCGCCTCCAGCCGCCTTAGCTGCAGTTGCTCCTCCTGGGCCAGAAAGCCACGATGCTTCTCAAACTCCAACCTGAAGCGCTGCCTCTGCATTTCCACTTTCTCCTGAGGTGACACAGTGGATCACATCATCAGCGCTCGGCCTCCTGCAGCCATATACAGGACAGTGCTGGAGAAGGCAATGTCCAGACTTCCCTGGGATCCGTAACTCTGTGGACTGACTGGCTGCATTCTAACAACATGCACAGACTGGGGTCCATTCGTATAAGAAGTAGCCCAGGAGAGTTTTCAAACTAAGTTTAAAAAACACTGTTGGACTGGAGTTCCCATTTTGCCACAGGCTTGGGGGCAAGGCACTTTTATATTGAAGTTTCAGTACCATATACAAAATGTGAGGTTCTGGGGAGGTTGAGGTAAGAGGATTGCTTGAGGTCAGGAGTTCAAGACCACCCCGGGTAACAAAGCAAAACGTGACCCCATCTCTAAAAAAATTAAATGAACTGACTGGGCATGGTGGTAAGCCCTGTAGTCCCAGCTACCCACAAGGCTGAGGTGGAAGGATCACTTGAGTCTAAGAGCTCGAGGCTGCAGTAAGCTGTGATTGCACCACTGCACTTCAGCAAGACTCCACCTCTTAAAAAATGTGGGGAAAAAGAAGAGTATGTGGATTACGGCTGAATATCTATTAAACTACAAGAACAGTGATCGGCATAGAGCAGTCACACAACAGGTTACTATTTACTAGTAGATTAGTCACTAGAACCACTAGAAACAACCGAATTATGAAGAACTGTTAGAGACCTAGAATTGTTTGAATAAGAAAAGGCTGAGAGATGAGAAAATATGAATGCTGTTTCATAATATGGTAATAGTGAACACAACCATAAGTCTAATGTTCTCTACAAAGCCAAGAAAGAACTAAGTAATGCTCAGGCCACTGAATTCAGAGTTCACGTCAGGGAATTAACCCCGATTTCTACCCGAATCTCACATCTTCAGTTTCTGAATAGACCTAAGGAACATACTTCATCCCAGGCTTAGTTTCTAGATTTTCTTCTCTCGAGATAAGTATATTGGAAACTAACTTTAAGCTGAGTACGAGAGGCAAATCACTCCCTCAAAGTATCTGTACCTCCCATTCTCTGTCCTGTTTTATCGATTTATTTTCTTTTTTGTAGATATTCATGAGGTACAAATGGAGTTTTGTTACACTGTTATACTGCCTTGTAGGTGAAGTCATTTGCCTGTTTTTTTTAACCTTTTTTTTGAGACAGAGTCTTGCTCTGTCACCCAGGCTGGAGTGCAGTGGCACAAGCTTAGCTCACTACAATCTCCTCCTCCTGGATTCAAGTGATTCTCCTGTCTCAGCCTCCCAAGTAACTGGGACTACAGGCACACACCACCATGCCCAGCTAATTTTTGTATTTTCAGTAGAGACAGGGTTTCACCATGTTGGTCAGGCTGGTCTCAAACTCCTGACCTCATGATTGGCCCACCTCGGCCTCCCAAAGTGCTGGGATTACAGGCGTGAGCCACTGTGCCCAGCCTATCTGCCTGTTTTTAAACGTGGTAACTTCTTGCTTTGACTAAAAGGCATAAGCTATCACCTTTTTAAACTAAATATCCCCTAAGACTTAGCTCCTTCCTTCCATTTTCCAACTCTACCTCCCTCTACCATTTTCTAAATCACCAGATTCAGAAAACTTCATCTTCTTTCTGAAATCAGCCAAGTCTGAATTCCATACGCTGACTCCTGAACGGTGGAACTCACGTAAATATGAGAAGCTCTCTTCATATCAGAGGCTGTGCTGTCGTGGGGTGGGGCAAATAACCCACCACTAGAAAAGAGCTGAGTCACACCTGGGGCATGGAGGGGGCTGTGGTGGGAAGCGATTTGCCTGCAATTCATCTTCCTTTCACGCCACCCTCTTGAGCACAACTGTATCTGCAGGTAGAGAAACAGGAAAGGCTGTTCTGTAGTGTTTAGAATACCTTGTGACCAAAAATGAGCTTGCTGCATTTGGCTCACATGGATACATTCTTGATGGTAAAGATCATGCAAGTTTACTTGGCTTAGAACAGGGATCTCAGTACCATCCCTACTTAAGAATAATCAGTAGAGGGTTTAAAACATGCAGGAACTCAGCTCTCCGATATGGGCATTCTGATTGTATAGATCTACGGTCAGGCCAGGATTGAAAACAATAGACTTGTATTTCAGCCTGAAAAGAACAAAAATTATCCATCAATATTACAATATTAAATAATGTACATCCTATCACTATGTACATTATAGGCAAATAACGAACATTATTTAATATTGTAAAGCTTTGTTCTTGCTCTTTTTATCTCGATTGCCACTACCCAATTCAAACTATGCTTTACTAACTTGCTCTTCCTGCAAAACCCACGGCTATATCCCTATCATCTAGAGTTGCATCTTATACTATCACTACTAGTTTAAAAATATTCATTAATAATATTGATGAACAAGTTTGTCAGTATCAACGTTAATAAGTTTAAATATTTCTTCACACATCTGAGTAACGTTAGGTACTAAAGTTATTAACATCAATATTATTTAATATTGATAACTTTTATCCTTTCCTATCACTATCTAAATTATTTTACCTATAATGTACATTTTTCTTTTCTTTTTTCCTTTTTTTTTGAGACAGAGTTTCACTCTTGTTGCCCAGGCTGGAGTGCAATGTGCGCGATCTCAGCTCACCGCAACCTCTGCCTCCTGGGTTCAAGCAATTCTCCTGCCTCAGCCTCCTGAGTAGCTGGAATTATAGGCAAGCGCCACCACGCCCGGCTCATTTTTTTTTTTTTTTTTTTTTTTTTTTTTTTGTATTTTTAGTAGAGACGGGGTTTCTCCATGTTGGTCAGGCTGGTCTTGAACTTCCGACCTCAGATGATCCACCTGCCTCGGCCTCGCAGTGTGCTGGGATTACAGTTGTGAGCCACCATGCCTGGCCTTAATGTACATGTTTCTTCTGGGATAAGTGTTATCTTTTCCTATCCCTATGTGTATATATATAGTAATCTAGTAATGTAGTAAATATAGAAAAATGTAGTTTAAAAAGTCTTTATGTAATATCTGTGTAAAGACGGAGTATAAGACTAAATTTTCAAAGAAAACAAGAAGGAAATAATTATAAATATATAGAGTCATCAGAAAAGAAGGGTTATTTGGAAAAGGAGAAAGAATAGGAATATTCTGTAGAGTATAACCTATTATATATCATATTACATAATATATTACATGAATATATAGAACTATACACACAGTTTCTATATATAGTTTCTCAATCTTGACACTATTGACATCTTGAACAGATCATTTTTTCTCATAGGATATGGGAACTGTCCTGTGGACTACAGGGTGTGAAGCTGAATTCCTGTCTCTACTAGATGACAGGTGCACTGTACCCAGCCTTCCTCAGTTGTGACAACCAAAAATATCATCTCCAGAAATTGCAAAATGTATCTAGGGGGGTGTGGGTATCGCCTCAGGTTGAGAATCACTGTGTGTGTGTGTGTGTGTGAATCACTGTGTGTGTGTACGAATCACTGTGTGTGTGTGCATATACACATGTTCACATGCATGTGCATGAATGAAACATGGTATAAAAAGAGCTAGTGAGGTATTAAAAAATGGAATGTGTATGTACAGATGATCAAAAAAGGCTGAACGTTCGGATTATTTCCCTGTATATAAGATGATCACTTTGGGCTGTACTTCTTCTGTTACAAAGTTGTGAAATATTCATTATTTCATTCACCTAACAAATATTTTCAAACTAGTAGTGACAGTATAAGATGCTATTCTAGGCGACAGGGATACAGCAGTGGGTTTTACAGTAAGATCAAGCTAGCAAAGCTATTTAATTGTAATTTGGATTGGGTGACGGCAACAGAGACAAAAAGAACAAAAATGAACCATATCATTTGAGGGTACAGGGATGACCCAGGATGGCTCTGAGGTGTTCTTGGGCATATATGGAGATGGAAAAAAAGTGCTGGAGAATGGAAGATGGTGGAAGAATTACTGACCTGAATCTGGATCCTTCAAACAGGCAAGTCTCTTAAAGCCCCAACACGGTCTTACCTTCCAAATGACAGTCTTTTTCCCCACACTGGCCTCCTGAGTCAAGGCATCCTCCAGCTCTTTCCTCACAAGTTCCAGAGCCATCTGGAGCTTTACCTGTTTGGGAAGATATTTCAAAGCTGTTACAGATGCTCTCACTCAGTACCTAACATCACGCAGATGTGTGAGGAAATACAAAGATCAATTTAAACCATCTCTTGAAAGCACATAAAAAATGTTCAATATCATTAAAAACTAAACATAAATGTATTTAAGTTTTAGTGTCAGGGTCTCGCTGTGTCACTCAGGTTGTTGTGCAGTGATGTGATCATGGCTCACTGCAGCCTCAAACTCCTAGGCTCAAATGGTCCTCCTACCTCAGCTCCCAAGCAGCTAGTACTCAAGGCACACTCAGCTAATTTTGTTTTCTGTAGAGATGGGGTCTTACTATATTGCCCAGGCTGGTGTCAAACTGCTGGCCTCCAAAGAGTCTCCCATCTTGGCCTTCCAAAGTTCTGGGATTACAGGCGTGAGCCATCATGCCTAGCTCCTTAAATGTATTTCAATACCAGATACAATCAAATAGTTATCTAAAAGTATGCTCACTGCATTGTTATATACAATAGTATAACTTAACTAAAACATTAAAGATAGGGGAGAAAAAAATTATATCAACTGGATAGAATTAAAATAGGATGTTACAGAATGTTTAACGACAAGAAATACAATGATAATGTCCAATAAATAAATATATTTTACAAAACAGCATTAATTTTGAAAAAAATGTGCTGGTAATAAATATATTAAAACTGGGCTGATGTAAATGAGAATATTAGATGAAATGTCATCTATTGGTATTTGGATGAAGAGTGATGCTATTATATCTCTCTATATTTCAACTTGTTGAAGTTATTGATTACTTTATGATAAAGCATGGGTTTATTAATGTAGTATTAGTAGTATTATTAGGTCAGAAGGAACTTGGGAGGTTATCATATTTTATATGAAAAAATACAATATGTTGTAAACTTACAATGAGTAAAAATATGAGAACTAAATCTTCCTTCAATGATAGGGCCCTCACTAAAAGTAAATATGTGTATTTTATTTACAGAAAATACCCACAAAGATACATACATAAACAGGATTTTAATTAAAAAATTCTATTCTCAAAGTTACTTAATAAATCCTACATACACATCAATTGTTTTTAAAAGGAGAATATTATAATTGTTATACATAAAATAACAGTAGAATTCATGATACTATTTGACCCAGTGGGGAAAGTGGCATTTGTTTTGGTGTTTACAAAGAATGAACACTTTGATACTTGTAGACAGAGAAAGCACTTTGACACTTGTAGATAGAGAAGAGCTCCCTCAGGCCAAAGAAACTATCAGCAAAAGCAAGGAGATGTGGCACAGTTAGGAAAACAGTGATTCGGCTAAATTTGCTGGGTTTCCTGGCTAGTTAAGACAAGAGCTATGGAAACACAACTTAGGGCCCTAGAAAGCTATCACTGACAGGCTCAGGAGTTTAGATAATATTTATTTGGTATTTAACTGAAGAACTACTGGAAATACAGAGAATACCTTTAGAAATATTACCCTAGAGGCTGGGCTGCCTGTAACACCAGCACTTTGGGAGGTCAAGGAGGGTAGATCACAAGGTCAGTAGTTCAACACCAGGCTAGCCAACACGGTGAAACCCCGTCTCTACTAAAAATACAAAAATTAGCCGGGCGTGGTGCCGTGTACCTGTCTGTAATCAGGAGGTTGAGGCAGGAGAACTGTTTGAACCAGGACCCGGAAGGCAGAGGTTGCAATGAGCGGAGATCGCACCACTGCACTCCAGCCTGAGCTACAGAGCTAGACCCCGTCTCAAAAAAAAAAGAAAGAAAAGGAAAAAAGAAAAAAAGAAATATTACACTACCAATCCTCTGTATGGTACTTTCTGGACTTTTTTTTTTTTTTAAAAAAAGGCAAGAACATAGCAGAAAAGTTTAACTAGAAATTACCTAGTACCTACATCTCGCCAATGACAATGAAAATCAAGAAGACATACCAAGAGAGATATTGGTAGGTCCAGAGGGAAGGGGAAAATATCCTAAACCTTAATTTAAAAAAACAAAATAAATAAATAAAAATTTTAAGAAAGCTAGTATTTGCAATGCACTACAGCACGACTGATAGTCCTTTGGTTAAATATGTCAGTAGATTAAAGACGACTTAGACCTCCTCTGTGCTGGCAGTTGTTCTACATGCTGGGATTAAAGTGTGTTCAGAGAACACCCAAGAACTTTTGAAGGGCACCAGTAGGAAGAATTCTACACGAAATTTCACAGATGCCACTTTGGGGGCCAAATACTTCCATTTTGTTTTTCTTCTTTCTCTTTTAAGCTTCCCGGGCTACACTCCAAATGAAGCACCTCTTCATTGAGGATGTTCGAATCCTAAGTCCCCAAATCCCTGCTGATGGAGAGCCACCCGCGGGCCACCCTCTCCTACTTCAGGAGGCACAGGCGCCTGAGCTTTGGAGGGATCGGAACCCGTGCCCAGCTGGACACTCTTCCTAACAACGCCCAAACCCGTGGGTTGCTTTGGTGACAACACTCATTTAAGGTAAACACTGTGCAAAAGCAAAGCATTGCACAAATGAGAACTATTACGGCAAGTTTACGATATAGATGTACACTAGTTACCAAGAATGAACTGGACCACAGCCCTCCCGACCAGAGCCCAGCTGAGGGACCAGACTATCCGCACCAGGAAAATCCAGCCCAGCACGAGTTCGAGGACAGGAGAGTGCTTGAGGG